CCTGTCTAGCTGTGTGACCCTGGGCAACTGACTGCAACTCTCTGTGCCTCAGCTTCCTTGTCTGTCAGAGATAAGAATTACCTCTTACTGAAGCATTGCTTAAGGTTTAAATGAGTTAATACCTCTGAAAAACTGAAAGAAGACTGATTCTGCAAAGCTGGACTAGTGTCGGCGGTCACCTAAGCTGTAGAGACAAGCTGACACAAAGTGGCCAAAGTGACTTCACACCGCACCTGCATCCTACTGTGAGGTTCTCCCCAAATTCCATCCCCAACCGTGTCCCTCCTCCCTGGATGCCATATGTGTCCTGCTGAGCCCCCCATACTCATTCCTGACTTCTTCCCCACCCCTCTGCCTCTCCAGATGTCAGCCTGCAAGGGAATGTCCCCTAGATGTTACACAGCTGCCTCCAGCTCATCACCACCTGCACACAAGGCCTGTGCCACGCGCTGTCTTCGTCTCCCACGGTGGCACTGGTACCCGGACGGTCTCCATTTAAAACCACAGTCTGGCTGCCCGCCCCCCCACCACTTGCCCCGCTCCCTGGTCCACATTTTTCTTTCCCCCCAGTATTTACTGATGTACCATAGGATTTGTTGATTACCTTCTCTGTTTTTCTTCCCCAGCTAGACTGGAAGCTCGGTGAGGGCAGGGACTTTTCTGCTTTGTTCTCTGGGTATCTCCAGAACCTGGAACAGTGCCCGAAACCTAGAGGCGCCCCCTTGACCGGCGGACCTGTCTGCAAACTCCATCAGGCCGCGTGACTTCGGGCAGCGCCTTCCTTTCCCTGGGCCTCATTGCCCCCCCAGTTGAGTGGCTTGGACCTGAGATGCTGGGCTCATTTCCAGGACAAGCTGCTGGTCCGAGGCGTGACGCAACTTAACCCAGGAGGCAGGATCCAAACTCAAGTCTACCTTCCGCAGAGGCTCGCTGTTGGAGCCTGTGGCTGTCAATCCTGGTGCCCATTTGAAGCACCAGGAAACTTTTAGAAAACCAACCGATCCCGGGGCTTTACCAGCGGAAATCCAGCTTTAATCTGATGGGAAGAGTCCTTAGGGTCCCCAGCTCCTCTGCCCAACAGGCAGGAGCAGCTAGAGCTGAGACACCTCAGTCCTCCCCTCCCCTCCAGCCACAGAAAACCACGGCCACAGTCACAGACTCTCAGCTTTACCCAGGCCAGAGAGAAACTGGTGAGAGACAGAGAGGAGAGCACGGATGGGATCTCAAGACGAAGGTGTAAATATGACCTCTGTTTCTTAGATGGATGTGCAGAGAGGTTGTGTGACTTATCCCAAGTCACACAGCAAGAAAGCAAAAGTGGGATTTGAACTCAGGTCGGACTCAGGCCGAGGAAGTGGGAGACAGTGGTTGTGTGGCGGGCGCCATGAGCAGAGAGATGAGAGATTGGGGCGATGGACAGAGAGAGAATTAGGCGGCACTTCCCAAACTCATTCCCACATGAGCCACTGGACAGGAGGCAGAGGGACACCAGTACGTGAGCCTCTAAGCTGGGGAAGTTCTGCTCGTTCCTTCTTCAGATTCTCAACTTCCTCATCTGAAAAAATGGGAAACGAATACCCACCTTCCCAGGTTTCCTTGAAGACTGAATGGAAAGCCCAGCGCCCCGGGATACGAGGTGCGCTGTTATGCCACCACACAACAGAGTGCCACTCGTCCAGCGAGGGAGGTGACCCGTGCGCTCAGCAGGAGCGGACCTCGAAGCCAGGCCACGCAAGGGAGCCAGAGACCCAACAGCACCAAGGGTTTGGTTCCCGTGACGTGAACGTCTACAAGAACTGAGCAGAGTGGCAAAGCGGGTCTGTGGTTGCCCAAGCTGGGGGAGGGGAGGGGTCGGCTGCAAGGGGCACAGGGAACCGCAGAGGACGGTGTCACCACGGTGACAGTGCTGGTGTCTGCACAGGTGTGCGTGTTTGCCAAGACCGACCACTTAAATCATGCCTCTGTACAGCTGATTCTTGATAATGTAGATAGGTAGATGAAAGGGAAGGAGAGAGAAGGAAAGAGAGAAAGGAAGGAAAACAAACTTTTACTAAAGCAAAATACACAGATAGATAGTATTCTGGAACTATCTATCAGGACATCTTGCAGCCCTACTTTCCAAGTGGATCTAGAATCTGGGTACTTGTCAGTCCTCTTGGACTAGGTGATGAGCAGAGCCCCTGTTCTCTCTCACCTGGACTTCAGCAGGAGGCCACACGGGTCTCCAGCTCCTGCCCTTACCCCCTCTACCTAACCAACACAGCAGTCAGAGGGATCTGTTCAAATATGCAGCAAATCAGATCACACCGCTCTGCCCCTTCTCACTCAGAAGAAAAGCTGAAGTCCCTAGCGACCCACAAGACTCTACCTAATCTCATCCCCATAACCCTCTGTTCTCAACTCCTCCCATTCTTCCCTTTCCCTAACTCTAGTCACAGAGGCCTCTTGCCCACCCTCCCCCATGTAGGTCCTGCCTCAGGACCTTTGCAGCTGCCAGTCCCTCTGCCTGGAATGCTCTTATATATATTTGTATCTGCATGGCTCACCACCTGCCATAGTCAAAACTTTATTTATCTCGTCAATGAACTTCCCCCATCACACTATTTAAAACCATGACCCCCAGTGTCTTTTGTCTCCTTCTTTGATGTGCTCTTACAGCATATCTGAAATGACATCTTGCTTCTCCCCTTTCTCCTGCCATCTCCGTCACTGGCATGAGTACCCCCCAGCGCCTGGAACATGCCCATGGGGCCTGGTACAGAAACAGCAGGCTCCCGCCCATCCACTCTCTCCCTGCCTCTTCCATCTGAAAGTGGCCCTGTGAAGGTGCCTGGCGGGGGGTCCAAGGGTCCACGTAACAGAAGAGGGAAGCCTAAGGCCCAGCGGGGATGAAGGGCCGGCCCAAGATGACCAGTCAAGGTGCCAGAGCCCGCGCCCACCTGCCGGCCTGGCTCTGCCCATCCCGCTGCTGCTCAGAAGGAAGAAGAGAAGAGAAGGGGACGTGAAGCCGGCAGCAGAGGAGGGGACCTGGGAGGACCTGGGAGGCAGCGCTCGCTGGGTTGGATGGAGGTTTGTGCCGTCAGATGGACCAACCTCCTGGGCAGGTGTGGGCTGGGCTGACGTGGCCGCTTTAAGCCCAGGAAAACCTGAGGTTGCAGCAGAGGGCCGCGTGGGCCCCCAGGGGAGGAGGAACAGCAGGCTCTATTAGGAAACCTGGAAGCAAGAGGCAGGAGGCACCGACACCCAGGGGAGGC